AGTACTTGTTTATATTGATGTAGATAGGTGTTTATGACGCATATATTCTTTTGTACTGTAGAATGTGAGGTTTAACAGGAAAGCTTTCAGTTTATTTTTGAATGTGTGTAACAAGTTTAAGCTTTTAAATTTGCTAGGAAGTTTATTATATAGTGTAATGCCTTCTAAATAGGTACTTTTTTGGAAGAGTGAAGTTTCACTGTGCAAATTTCTTTTTTGTCTAGTATCATAGTTATGAACTTCTGTGTTCAGAGTAACAGAATCCTTGTTTCCCATAAGTGTCTTCTTTGTGAAGTTTAATATTTCAAATATGTACATGCATGGGAGTGATAGTATTTGTAATTTTTTGAACAGTGGTTTGCAGGACTCATGTTTGAGAGTGTTTGTCATTGTTCTCAATATTCGTTTTTGGATGATGAAAGTGTGATTACTTTCTGGGGAATCCCCAGAATATTATTCTGTATTTTAGGTGCGAGTGAACATTTGAAAAGTACACCAGTCACAGTGTATCTAAAGTTAGAATTTGACTTCAGGATGTATACGGTATAACATGACTTGGTAAACTTGTTGTTTAGATCTGTGATATGGGTGTTCCATTTTAGATCATCTTGAATAGTCAATCCAAGGAAAGTTGTTTTTTGGGCTTTTTTTACAAGCATTTTTTTATCATCAATTGTGATGGAAGCTTTTCTTTAGAGAGTGGATTCCGAAAGTTTAGGGAGACAGTTTTACTGGTGTTTATGATGAGTTTATTTTCCTGGAACCATTTTACTAGTGCCTCTAGGTCTGTTTGTGTTTCTTTTTGTAGAGTTTGTTGGGTATTTGCTTTAATAATAATGTTTGTGTCATCTGCAAATAGGACCAATTTGGTCTTTTGTAGGGTCAGGGTCATGTCGTTGATGTATAATAAAAATAGTATGGGCCCTAGGATTGATGTATAATAGAAATAGTATCCGCCCTAGGGCCCCTGATCCTTGTGGCACTCCATTATTTATCATTCTAGGTTGGGAAAAATGGGTAGAAATCTTTTTATCTCTAACATGCTTGATTGTGACTACTTGACAATGATTTGAGAGGTAAGTCATTGATGTGCAATGCCTCTAATTCCCAAAGTTTAAAGTTTGGATAAGGGTATGTGATGGTCAATAATGTTGAATACCTTTGATAGATCTAGAAACAAACCACTGGGTATTTTTTTCTGATCTAGAGTAACAAGTATGTCATTTAGAAATGTGAAGATAGTCTGTAGATCTACCATTTCTGAATCCATGTGGGGCCTCTGTCAATATAGTATTTGAATTGAGAAAATTTTTGAGTCTATCATTAAAAAGCTTTTCTAGAATTTTTGAGAATCCAGATAGTAAGGATATCGGTCAGTAATACATGAGATCGTGAGTGTTGCCTTTTTTGAATAGTGGTTTAACTTTTGCTTTTTTGAGAATTTCTGGGAAGATACCTGTCATTAAGGAGTGGTTACAAACGAGAGTGAGCGGTTCTATTATGTTTGTTGCAGTATGTTTAATGAGGGTGTCAGGGATATTATCCAGTCCTATAGAGAATTGGTTTCTCATTTAATTTATGATTTTTTGTATTTCTGTAGGTGATGTTTCACAGATATATATGGAGTTTACATTTGTTGATGTGTGGATATTTGACTGCACAATTATATTATTTAAGAAGTTGTCATGAATTAATTTTTCACCAATTTCTGAGAAATGTCTATTGAATGTGTTTGCTACAGCTTGTGGGTTACGCAGAACATTATTTTTGTAATGAAGTTCAATGTTCTTAGTGTTTTTGTTTTTAGAGTATTTTTCACAATGTTCCACAATGCTTTTGTTTTGTTATGTGCTTTGGCAATACATTGATCATTCATTAACAATTTGGCCTCTTTAATTACTTTCTTCAAGATACTTTTGTATGTTTTGTAATAAGTAATGAAATCAGAGCTACATTCGTGGTGAAGGATTGTTTCATGCATGATTCGTTTCCTTTCACATGATGTTTCGATTCCTTTTGTTATCCATGATTTGTGGTTTTTGCTTTTTATTTTTTTCAGTGTTTGTGGGAAAACACAAACACCGAAAAAAAAAAAAAAAATTGAAATAACTTTGGAATACGTTTATGAATAAGTAAAATTTGGTATTCATGTCTGTTGCTTTGTATACCTCCTCTCAGTTTTCTGAACTTATTAAAGAGTTAAATTTGTCTGTTTTCCTGAGAGAAGTTTCAGTTTTTCTCTATAAAGTGTTTCCTTAATAACTTTTGTGCCCATGCTTCTAAGTGTTTTAGTTTATTTAACACTGCATCGGTAGTAATCACAATATTATAATCTCTTATATCAGAATGAAATCTCTATGTAATCATTTTCACTGTAACAAGATTCAAATTGATCTGCTAATAAGTCCACTATTTACTTTGCTGATGTGACTTTTTTCTCACCACATTCCATTACACTTTTAGGTAGATCATGACTTGCCTTTTTACATGATTACAGAAAGTTTTCATATTATTTTTTATCTTCTTTTTAATGTGCAATATGTATCTCCTTAGAACAATAGAAAATATCATGTGTATCCTCCAAGAAGATAGTACTCATTACCACCCAGTTCACTTTTGTTAAATCATTCATAATCAAATCAGTTTTAGCAAGCATAAAAATTAAAGAGGATTCACACAAGTAATACCAGATTCAATTTCAGATTTTAGATTTAATTCAATTAGTGAAGCTGGATGGTATGTATCGCCTTTAATTATTGGGTCTATTATATCATGGAATCTGCGTCCTTGGAAAAACACAGGTTTAATGTCTCCAAGCTATCATTCAATATTTAATTTATCTTAAACAGATTATTATAGCTTGCACAGTTTGTTAAAATCTGTGCCTTTTCAATGTTGGCAGTCAAACGATCTGTTTCTGAAATAATGGACGTGCCAATATTATCAACAGTTCATTTAATTCTTGAGAAACTGTAGTCACCTATTATTGCTACAGAGTTACTATTTAAATGCTACTACTTCATCAATTTTGTTATGATGGTCTATATAACAATCAATTCCTGAATTTGGTTGCAAGTATATGGTCTCCACAATATGTATCATACCCTGTTCATTAATTTCTAAAAATAAATTTTTAGTGTAATTGCCTGTAATATTTAAAGGGATACTATGTAAACATTTTTTTACGAATTTAATCATTAAAAAAACAAACTCTCCCACAATTCATTAACAGCATTCATTTCTCCATGCATCAGAAGTAACTTATAGCATTAAATTTGGTTTTGAGATAAATATATTTCTCATTTTTTTAAATGAAAATGGTTTCAATTTTTGGTTCCTGTACACCCAAAAACATACTTATCAGTTGAAATATTGCAAGCAGTTTACCATTTTTTTTTCTTTCTTTCTTCAGACCTACATAATGTAAAAGTAATGATAAATACCTGTATGAGCATGTGCAAGTATAAATATGTGTATGTCTATAAGCATTTATATTAATTAACATGTACATACCCTTTTGTGAAGATAAGTACTTGGAGGATTTAAAACTCACCAGGTCTACTTTGATTGAGGAACAGGCGACACTTCTAACAATCTACAGTAGATGAGCATTTACATTTAAATGATTACTCAGTTGCCGATGATGACAGTAAAGCGTTATTTTGTAGTTTGAAGAGAATTCTTTGCTGGTTGCTGCAAGAATTTTATTTGTTGTTATGGTTCTCATTTCCTTCTAATTTTGTTTGTAACTGCAAACATTATACTGTTGTCACAAAGGTACTCTCTTCTACACAGGTCATGTAATTCTAAAAGAAAATTCATTAGATGCATATGCTTCATGTTAGGTGACTGACTTTTAAGTCTTGAAGAAAAGGCATAAGTTTCTGTTTATTATAGTGTCTCTCATTTTAGAAAGAATTTTTGTAAATAAGTACATGTGGAATATTAAAAATAGGACTAGTACACATAAAATATTAGTATTATGCACAACATGCACTTGGATTCCATAGAGATAGTCACCCATAAGATCAAAGAAATATAATTCTATAGTTTTATAATCAACGTCAATATGCTAAAATTACAACTTTTTATATCAATTTTGAGGTCACTAATAATCTACTTTTATTAAAGCATGAGATGTGGAAACAAAGTTGAACAAATTTACACTTGTTTGTGGATCAGTATAGCAAACTTCAAAGATATTGTGCAAAAAGAAACATTTCTTAAGCTCTATAAAGTTTTTGTCTTGTCACTTTTAATCAACTGAAATGACAGATGAATGTCGACATCAGACCAGTTGCCAAAACTAAATCATTAGAAATGAGATTTCTTTGCTTTGTGCTCATTGTTCACTACTTCACCATAAAAAAAAACAACTTCGGAAATCAGTGAAGATTTGAATATTGAGTCAGTTACAGACATAATTAAAATAAAAAGAAGATGAGAATGTTTCCAGAAAATATGATGAGTGGAGTTCGGAACTTCAGGCATTTTATTTTACATAAAATAGACAGGCAAAAAGGCATTTATTTTCATTAAAACAGGCATGAAAAAAGGCATTTATATCAATGAAAGAAGGAATGCAAAATAAACAATGAAAAATCACATTTAAAAGGAATTATTGTAAAAAATAATAACTAAAATGATTCACATTTTCATTCTAACTAATATTTACATTAGGGCTTAATTGGTAAGGAAGCAATCTTTTCCTGGTCCACATGTTCATAAGGCATGGCTATGAATTTGTTTTATTCATGACATTCTAATTCTTCGAAATGAAAGATGGACACCCTTTTGAATCTTGAAGTGGCATCAGGGAAACAATTATACTTCTCGTTCTTCGGATGTGTGTAATCACCAGCACTGAAAACGGTGTATCTTACTCAGGTAACTGTTCTCAGAAGCGATTGGAGGCCATACTCAAAAGTAAGGAAGGGATTCCTTGTGAGCAAACAAAATCTGTCAGCATCAATGAAAAAAAATCCAAAATCTTGACTGGTATCATCTTTCTTTTTCATTTAGATTTTTAACACAGCCTCTGCTTCCACAAAAATATGATCATGCTTTCGTGTTGTCCAGGCTTAATTGAAATCAGTGCCAGGAGCAAAAAAGCAAAATTTTGACGTAAAAGACAAAAATAGGCAAAATGAAAATCTACTAAAATAACTCCAGAAGCACAATTAAATGATTCCTATTGTCAAAAGTCACAAAATAGTAACAATACATTGGCATTTTGCCAAACTTCTGGGCTCTAATGATAAGTGAAAATAACCTATAATCCAAGGGGAAGAAGAAATATATGACATCCCTGAAGAGGTAGCATGAACAATTTTGAGACAAAACAGATTAAGAGGTCTAATCTTTGATGTAAACAATGAATTAGGTATTGTGTTGAAGGTTGTTTGAATTTGTGTCATTGGCTTTTGAAAGGGGGGTAAACTGAAGCAACTCCTGTTGGTGTGCTACTGAATATAATGTAGACATAACAGTGTAAGATATCCTTGATAATTTTCAGAAAAATGAAGATAATATCTCAATATTTCAACTAAATATTTACTTGAAGTACACATATAAGACAGTTTCAGTATTTGTTTACATTTTTTTAACTTAAAAAAGTACAAAATATTATTCCTAGATATCAAAAATATTTTAACATACACAATTTATCCAAGGCCATATTCCACCCATATCTCCATGCCTGGGGAAACGACTTCAATGATTTCACACTGTATTGATGTCCGAATAAGTGAATTGTGTCCGTTCATGTCAATTACTAAGTTTTCTTTTCGGTGCATGCAGTATTAGAAATACATACATACTTTGTTTTGCGGATTCTTACAGAATAAATCCAATACCAACTATGCGAATGCCATTCGCTGCTATTTAAATAAACCGCCTTAAAATTAGGATCAGATGAGGTTCGAAAAGGTTCTGCTTGTTTCTGCTACACCGACACCAACTCCTTAAAATATGTTAAATAACCCCCATGAGCTGTTTAGCACGGTCTCGCTGTTGTCTAGAGTAGTTTTAGAGTTATGCTATAGTATATTGATCGCTTTACGAGTAATATTCTAGTATAGTATTAGTCAAGGAATTTCTCATTTTCTCTGGAAAATATTAAACTATATGTGCTATATCCATCTGATATATGTGTAGGCTCTATATTTTTCACGTTTGACTTATAATACATGTTTCTCAGCTGCCCTGGACTTCAATTTGTGATCACAACTTCTCGTCTTCAAATCATCTTCACGCGTTCCAAATCCAATCTCTTGGATGTGGTGCCCTGGTGGTGCCGGCGACGTTTGTGGGTTGGCCATGGATACGGACGTCATGGACATTCCTTGCCGGCATCTTGTTAGTGTTGAATTGACAGCGGTGTACCATGTATCTTCTCATCATAATGTTAACGTGTCTCTGTCCTGAATCGTCATTTGTCATGTTGCGATGGAATATTGACATGCAGCCAATTGTACACATGAGTTTTCGGAACGATCCTAGGTAGGCTGGAGAGACAATTTCACGCAATTAACGTAACCTACAAATCATAATGACAAATCCCGAAGCAACAGGAGATCTCCCTCGAGTATTGCGGGGAGATGCTGTGGGTGACACTATGTATAGTGAGCGTTGGATATTAAAGCAGCTTATAAGAATAACTAAGGTGTGTGGTAAATACACTTCCTTTTTTATAAGTATCATTTATAATTAGAATAAAGTAAAGGTACCATATTCATGTCAAAACATACTTAAGTTAACAAGGCATACTTGTATTGAATTTGAGATTTGAAATGTCTGGAGCCAATTTCTTAAATGACATGTTACAGTATATAGCAGGTGAAGAGGAGTTTAATGATGATTTTGAGCTTGATCTCTGCACTTTATGGGATATGTGTGCAGATAAGGAAGTAATTGCTTTCACGAGGAAACACGGACTGATAGCACTGGCTATAAATGCAATAATGAAGTCTCAGTCTCCAAGATTAAGTGTAAGTAGAATTTGAAGAAAAGTAGTCCCTAACATCTAGATCAGTTCGGTTGTCTTATTTCAACTGTTAATAGAAAAGTTTACTTCCAAGTGTAGTAATGGGACATTTCATTGTTCTTCATTGATTTTATTTCGATAATGATTAGGAGAGTCGAAAACATAACTATGCTATATTAAAGCAGGAATTTCATGAAATTCTGTTGAAACTTGTTTCATTCTTACTTGATAAGAATTATAATTAACCAGGCGGGATCAGCAGCACCAACTTAAACAAGAGGGTTCATTGTCTCCTTGATGTAAAAAAAGAAATAATTAATTAAATTAAATTTTTTTAAAATTTAATTAATTTTTAAATTATAATTTGCTTAAATTTAAAAAAATTAAAGCAAATTTAATTTTACTAAAACTACCTGATCCTGGAGATTTTCTAGCTTTCAGCAACTTTTTTTAAAATGGCATCCTTTTCTCTTTTATTGAAACAAGTAAATACAAAATTATTGATGACACAATAAGCATTAGGAACAAGAGGATTTGAAACAGATTATGCTGGATGTAAACATTGCTTGTTGGAGAATTGGTTGGTGGAATTAGTTTCTTAGAGGACGTTCTCTCTCTCTTCCTTCCTTAGGTTTCGCTTTTGTTGTATTGCTGTGTTGTCATGTAAATATTCTACAAACCTATGTGTGTATTTACCTATTGACATCTTTTATTTTCTCTCATTCCTATTGGAGAACGTGATTCATAAACATGTAAGATTGAGAATAATCTGATAGTATTATTTATGCTTTTATCACTACTTGTGTATTACATCATTAGTTGTCTTGTTTTTAAATAGCTTTAAATTTGACTAGCAGAACATGCATCAAACCCATGTAAGTGACCTGTAGAATACACCTGTGGAGTACACACTTTCCATTTCTGAATATTGGAATTCAGGTCTCGATCAAAGCTTGTGAAGTAGCAGGTTGTTTCAGTATTTCTTATTCCTCTTATTTCCTCTGTATACTTCATAATAATCAATAGGAGTGGATTTTAATGAAATGTAATTTTTTTATCACTTTAGAACAATGCCTTTTAGTATAGACATTAATTTTATGTTATAAGAAAACCAAATGACCCGTTTTTATACAGCATTTTTTTGTTGTTGCGTTTTTTGTTGATTTCTACCAATTAGTAATTTTTTTCCCGTTTTAGTAATGTTTTAATCATTTTTTTCTGATGTCATTGTTTTTAATATTATTTTAATGGTATTTGCTATGAATAATATGTATGAGCTGCAACAAATGTTCTCCACAGAATTACTCGGTAGCCTATTCCATTTCTTGACTCAGAAATTATAATGTCAGACGTTGTATGTAATCTAAGGTTCCTGTAACGTCTATCAGTGCCATTGTTGGTTCGACCGATTTCAGGATAACTGAAGACAGATTTCTAGGTAGAGAATGGTCCAAACAAAAAGTTTTTGGTAGTAGTAGTCGAGTTAACTTGATCGAAAGGAAGAAGACTTGATTACATCAGTAACATATCCAACAGCTTTGTTCATTTGAACTGGTTTTGATTCATATTTTATGAAATTGTTCTTTGCTCCTAGGGCATTTTTAAAACGTTTTAAGAAGGTTTATGGATCATTTTTGGCGATGCTTTAGGTCAACAAAATCCGCTCCCTAATAACCATGTTACATTTTTACGTACGTTTCTCTGTCTTAGGGTGGTTATACTAATTTAAGCCAGAGTTTTCAAGTTAAATTGGCTTTGTTAAAGCAAGTAAATTTCACTATTTATTCAAAATTATCATATAATAAATCAAATTTAAATCCATTTTTTTTGTTTTTGTATTGAACTGTAATAATGTAGAATAAAAATATTATGCCAGTGAATATAATATATTAGTTATACTTGATGGATTGCATGAAAAGAAAAAATATTAAAATTGATTATAACTTTTTTTAGTTTTTGTGGAATATTGTTGAAGGTTTTTGAAAAACCTTAATGCTGCAGTTAATTTATTACTTTTAATATGTAATAATTTAGAATGAACTAACTTCATTATAATCAAATTGCTTTTATTTGTTTAGTGTAATTTGTTGAAAAACAGAAAAGTATATAATGTAGGCAGTTAGTTTATCGTCACTAATTTATCATTGCTCAATTGTGATGCTGCATTATTGAGATGAGTTACGGATAACAAGTTCAGAGAGTTGCAACATAGGGTCACAGGACACTTAACTGTCTTCCAGCTCTTAATCTCGAACACAATACATTTAATGGTGAAATTTATGTTCTGATTGTTTTGTTTTACTTGCAAAATTAAGAAGCTGAATTTAATGATGTCGTTTCTTTTTTAAGTTAGTTTCATAATTGAATACAAGTTTTGATACAATTCTAATTATCTTTCTATTGTTATTGCTGTTATTATGTACATGAATGATGTCTGAAGTCTGTTGTCATTTTTGACTTAAAATATCTTCAGATAAGAATGGCATTTAGAGGAATCAGAATGGTTAATAGTTGGAGATTCACCTGAAGTTATGAAATTAGTTTCATTTTCTGGGTTAACTTGCGTTTCCAGTAAAATTGATGTATAACTGTTTTGAACAGAAACAGCAGAAGTTGTCTGTTGACTCATTTGCTAAAATATGTCGACAACCTTCTGTGATTTAAAAAATGTGAATGTAGTGTTTAAAACACCAGTTATTTTTCTCTTCCAAAACCAACTTAGTAATCAAGATGCAAAAATCAATGATCAATTTGCATGAATTGTTCTACAAATCAGATATGGTATCATCAAAAACATTTTATTTTGTTAGAAATTGTCATCAAAGAGACTGTGTCGGTGAATTAGGGCCATCAAAGAAACAGGAAAGTATCAGAAAAATTTAATCTATACATTTGCTACTACATGGTAATGTGGATTTTAATTGTGTTATGATTCACATTTGCATTACTGGAAAATGAGAAGTTTTCTAACTCTTTGTTTTCAAGTTTACCTCATTAAAATATTGATAATTGATGTTAATTTTGTGTGTAGAATATTGAGAGTACTTTGTTTTCAATTAGGTATGGTTTTTGAGGGAGAAAGAAAAGTAAGATTGTTCTGACACTGCTTGGGCCATTTACCAAATTAGTGATAATGAATGTTTATTTTGAATGTGCATTTGTAAGCAACAAGGAAAATGAAGTTTGGGAATGTTGAAAATTTTTTTTGGCATTCTATGTGAAAAAAGTGGAATTTCCTTTCGAAAGCATTTTAATTGCAATTCAAAAAAATTGACAGAATGAAGATGGAGTTTTGGAAAGAAGTGCTCATGAAATTTCATGAATTATGTTGCTGAAGTATTACTGCTCTTAGTATTAGGAACAAATAGTTTTACAATTGCTGTAGTATTTAGGTTGTTAAAAATATTTTTCTGAGAAATGAGTGATTATTTTATTATAAAGGAAAATGATTTCATTCAGTCTGTACAAATGCTGACCAAAGAAGCACAGACTGCAGTCGTTTTCATTTTTCTTAATGATATAAATTTTGTAATGAAATAGGTTTGAGTACAAAAATTTTTTAAAGTTTTCTTTCATATACATTTGATTGAAATGGATTAAGATATTGTCATTCATTCATGTGTGTAGTGTGTGTTTGCAAATATTTTTTGTTGAATATTTTAATTTTCTTTATCTTTTGGAAGATAAAATGCATTTTTTCACAACAATGTATTTTAAATGTAATTGAGAATGGCCTAGAAATGTTTATATCTAGAAGAAAGCATTCTGGATTGCTTAAATTCAATTCCTTTGTTCAGGAGGTATGGTTGTCAATGGACTACAAATTATCTTGTGAACTTTGTAACCATGAGTGTCAATCATCACCACTGCCTTTTTGTTTTGTTAATGTTTGCAAAACATTAAATTTCTTGTAGTTCTTCAATTTTTAAGAAATAGTAATTATTTTACTTTTAGCATCATCAGCTATACACCGTTACAAGAATGGTTTATTGTAATCAGTCGGAGGATTGTATTCCACCCACCATAGAAAATGCAATTCACAGAGGATCTAAATCAAGAGTTTCTGATTATATCAGTCAAATTAGGGTTGATGATAATTTGAAGATGTTTATTAAAGACCTAGTGGTCAATATGTGAATATGCATCTATGACTGATCATTATAATTAAGATCAAGTTCCTATTCATTGAAAAATATATTAATGAATTTTGTAATTAATTTTTACTTACGTGAAGCTACAAAACAAATAATAAAATAAAAATTAGTTTATAGTTTGGAACTTCAGATCATTCACATTAATGAAAAAGAACTTTGGTGGAATTAGAAATTGTGATTTTGTTTCTGCATGCATGCTTATATTTTTAAAATTAAAGCTGATAATGGTTCAACAAACGAAAAAATCTAATAAACCATTTTTTAAAAATATTGCCCCTATTATTTGTATAATTGTTATCTTTTAATCCTTTATATACAATTATTTGTGTTTATGGTTATGTTGTGTGCTGCACATTAAACAGAAAACTACCGGGAGGTCGATGAAGAAAATCATTCTTTTATGAGGGGTGAATGCAAGGAACGGAAAGACAATCTTGGATCTAAATTTACTTGAAACTTTTAATCCTTTATTAACTGCTCATCACATTATTTAAAAAACATTAACATATTTGTTGACTTTCTAATTAAAAAGAAAGTTAGTTTTATTTCAAATGTTGTTACAAATTTGAAAATTACAAAATGTGCTCTTATTTTCTGTGTCACACTTTGTGGCAATATTTATTCAGTTGGATACAAATTGATGCTTTTGTTATGTGCAAGATATAACCTGTGGATGAGATAGAGATTGCTAAATATAATTATAATGTCAAAATAGAATTCTATGAATATGAATGTACCATTTGTACAGGTGTTATAATATTAATTTATAGAATTCTTGCATAATTCATTGACTAAAATCCGAAATAACTGTATTTCAAACTACTTTGTTTCCAGAAATTTGTTCATTTGTTCAATTTATTTCAGGTTTCCTCATGCATGAAACATTTTCTAAAAATATATCAGTAGCATGTATTTATTGTAAAATAGAGTGAAAGTGTTGTAAACATGGAGCATTTGTGCAAAAAACAGGAAAGAGTATGCCACAAATGGGCAGTTGTCTGATGTATATTTCAATCCAAACTCAACAGTATAAATAAATTAGTGCTAAATAAAATAGTTCGTAATTCAGTGTTTCCTAAAAACAGCTGTGGTCACCATAACTATCACCATCCTGTTAACAACCTAGAAATTTAAGATTGTGAAAAAACTAATGAGACTGGGGGGGAAACTTCTGATCGTAAACTGCATCTTATTTAGGTTCATGATAATTTTTTTAAGGTTCTATTTTATAAAATCACTTTTATTTATCTTCTACAAAACCAAAGTAATTCGTTCAACATATTTTCTGTAATATTGTTTCAATTGCTATTCTATTATTTGCATTATATATTAAACTTCATATGTCATTTACTGTAATGTAAAATGTGGTTGTGTTGCTGAAAGGGTCAAATGCAATGTATGTTTTTGCAATGGAACTTGGTGTAAAACCAATCACCTAAGATTGAAGACATTGCATTGAAATCCTGAATAATGACCCTTTTATTAATACTGAACCTTGGACTCTGTTCATTTATAGACCTAGGTTCAGATACACAAACAATTTCCATGTTGGTATGTTCCCATTTCATGAAAGGTATTCAACAAAAAGTGATTGTGTTTTAGTTATTGGTTTTATGTTTTGTTTTCTAATGAAATTTATTTAAATGAAGGTAGTATTTTTCAGAATATGTTGAAATACATAGTCATTGGCATAATTTTCACTTTGCAAAATTAATGCATTTTTAGTTTACTTTAGTGGGTATGTATTTAGGCCACGGTGTTGAGAACAAACAATTTAAATAGCACATGTGTATGAGACCTTAAAACAATATTTTTAGTTAATTCATTGAAGTGTGTAATTGATGTTGCATTTGCTTTTTGTTAAAAATGAAACCATTCTAGTTTTTCTTTGGATTGAGAGGTTTTAATTGAATTATGGTTTTTAGTTTATTAATAGAGAAGTGATTTTCTTATACACAATCAACAATTCAATATGTTTCACTAGTTAAGAATACTCTGAATATGTGTGAATTATATGAAAAAGAAAGCATTTAAAAATGTGTAAAACTGGCATGGAAACCTGCAAAACCACAGAAACATAAAAGTAATTTCTATTTAGTCTTTTGATTTGGCAATGATTATTTAACAAAGCACTCCTCCTAAAAGTCATTGCTGAATTGACAGATTAATTGTATATTCAAAATGTTACTTTTAAGTGGTTTTTCGTGTTTCGAAGTTGGTTTTACATTTTACTACGTTTTTGCCTTTACTTCGTAAGAAGGGAAAGTATTGTATTCGCATGTCAGAGAAAGGCGAATTTTCGACAGAAAAACTCTTATTGCTGGGCTCTGGTAAGGAAAAAGGGGATAAAACTTGTTCCTCTAACACATTGTGTAGTCCGAACCAGTTTTGTGGGTCTTTGATTCTGAAATATGGTTTGACGGCACAAGTCAATCAGTCCATATGTGGTCAAAGTTAACAGTTAAACGTTTTTTCAAAATCGATATTTCCCAATCGATTTAAATGAGCTTGAGTCCCTCTTGAGTTTAATACAGATATTTTGATTTTTGACGGTACTTTATATGAAGCCTCAAAAATAGCTTCAAATTTTTTGATTAACATTTGTCCTCAGATTACATAAAGGATGCTTATGAGAATGGTGCAGGACTGGTCTGATTTTCATTAAAATCCCTGATTTTTCAAAAATTACAAAAGTTTAATTTTTTGGGCATCTACAATTTCAGTATTGAAGAGAAGAGATTTTTTCCGTAACAAAATCTATTTTTTAAAGACATGTCTTGAAGTAAGGTCATTAACAATTTTTTGTAAATATAAGTTGTTATAACATAATTTTCTGTGAAATATTGGCCATTTAAAATTTTTTTTAAATAATTTTTTTTTCAATAACAAGCCAAAACTTTTACTGTAATTTTTCTACTCTTGTATATCAAAGTACGGCAAAAAATGGTGGTGATAGTCTCATCTCTTTCAAACTCTGTATTTTCAAAAATTAGAATATCTTTATATAAAAATTACAAAATTTATGATAGAGATTTTTGCCTTAAACTAAATATGTAACAAAAAATAAGCTCCTTAAAAAACGTCAGGTGCAATATTTTGAAAAAACTACTTGTTATTGCATAATTTGTGTTTGAAATTAATGGAAAAAACAAAACGGAACATTTTGTTAAAATACACTCCAAATTTGTTCTACAAATAGAATGATGTAGAAGCAGTTATCAGTTTCGTTGAACACTCTGAATTTTAGATAATTGAAAATTTAGAAATAATGCCAGAAAGTATGTGTTATTTCAACCTCCACCTCCCTCCTGTTGAATTTTCCAATTTTGATTTGAAACTAGAAAACAAAATAACTAAACTTTACTTTCACATCTTCACTCTTGCACAAATTAAACCAGAAAATAAAACCTGAAACTTCTGAGACTAGAAGTGAAATATATTATGATTTGTAATTTAAGCATGTTTACATTTCATGAAAGAAAAGATCGTTTCTTGTATGACCTCTCTCTCTATTTATTGCATTGTGGGGGGAAAAATAATTATTCACAATTTGTGTGAAAATAATTATTATAATCATTGTAGGGATAAGTTTGAATGACGCATGTTCATTATATAAAACAGGTATCACTTCATGGTGCAAAAGTTTTCCTAGTTTTATTGTGATATTCATACTAAACTTGTTTCATCATTTGTAACAATATTGGAGCATTAGATTGTAATTCTTGACTTATCATTTACATGAATGATTCAGATTGTATTAAATTTTTGTATTGTTCTTTTATCACTGTTATCTTACAATTATGGTTCATAAGTGATTTTACCTTCAAGGTATATTTCTAAACCCTTTGTTGATTTATCTGTTTTAGGAAATCATGGTAGGAATAATAGGAAACATGTGCACATCAAAGAATGTTCGTGAAGAATGCAAACAGCGAACTGATGTGATAAGAGTTATGATGGAACTTCTAGCATTTCCTGATAGCCCTACTCTTATACAAGTTATGAGAGTCCTTCAAACATTTGCATGGGAGGTGAGCAATAGTTCTCAATCTCCACACGGAAGAAGAAATGAAGATGGTGACCAGATTGACAATGACCATAATGAGGCAGATCATAATAATGACTATGAGAATGATTATGATTATGACCCACTGCATATGCATGACGAATTCTATGAGGAACGTGATATTGTCCAGAATGCTAATGATACCAGGAATCCATCCCACAAGTCAGAAAGTGATTCATCTGAAGAAAGCAGCCTCTCAGACATGGAAGTCGCACACACATTGCCAACTAGCAGTAATAAATCTGGTGAGGAGCTGAAATTTAGTACAGAGGATAAATCTGTTGAAAACCTGACGGAAGTTGACCAAGACAGGGTGGGTGATTCTGAGGGCACAGGGAAGAGTGCAAATATTACAATACAGTCTCAGGAGAGTGCAAATGAAAATAAAAATCAAAACATCGCATCCTCTTCCACTGAGGTGAAAACTGCGAATGTGGATGAAGTAGAAGAAATGATTATATCGTGTGGACCTCAATCCACAGATGCGAGTGCTGAAGAAATGATTATATCTTGTGTACCACAAACCGCAGATGTGAGCACTGAAGAAAGATCAGAGCCAGGGATTGGAACTTCAGCTGATGAAGATCCGTCAGGTGTAGCAGGGCCTTCAGCAAGTGTTGCTAGCACTTCAGGAATGGGAAAAGAGGCTTGCCCAGAAAGTAGTGAGGATGGTACCAGTTGTAGTAGTGGCCCTGGTGGTACTAGCGGAGGGCGGAGGTGTGCAGGTTATGCCTGGCGTAATATTGATGATAATGACTATGAAGATGATGATGCTGGTGATGATGAAAATCCTGAAGTAGTTGCAGTTTCTGTAAATGATGATTCTGTGATTATTGGCACAGCGTTTTTATGGTATGAGCAGTTTCTGAAAGTTGAAAATTGGCTACCTGAGATAGTATATATTCTTAACAGTTCCAAGAATGGTATGTATGTTCTTGAATCAAGATACACTATGCACTTTGCTTTTGAAAATTCCTCATGGGGCTTTATTTTGTTGCAGCTGAGTTAATTGGTCTAACATGGACTTTATTGTCAATTTTGTGCTACATTCGTGTTGGAGATTCATACCTATGCTGTAATATTTCGGGACCAGGTAAGTAATACAAGACTAATTGTTATTATGACCAATTTTTAAATTTTCTTTCTGACCTTGGGTTATTTGAGATACCATCAGTGATGCATCTATATACTCGTATCGACAGTAATTACATTAATGAATGTTATGCACTGTGGTTAATTTTGCCTTGCATTCCATTGTCAAAGTAGTTTGTAAAATAAAGCTAGTAAAAACCGTGATTTGTTTTAAAAAAAAAATAAAAATTCAGATTTTAATCCATTGCTGAATCAGATCAAGAAAGATCCTGCCGTTACTTGCGCTGTTAGAAAACATTTCTGGATTTATTTAAATATCATTGACAACACACAAAGAAAACGCTCCAGCAATGTCTTCTGAACGATTAAATTCTTCATCTGTTCATCATTCTTATCAGTTCTGGGAAGGAAAACAATATGAGAAGGCACTGATTAATGCGGTGCGTCCTGTTGCATATTTTCTCACACACAAGATGTTGCTTTATATTATCACAACCATCCTTCTGACTGTTCTTTACTCTCTTTTCTATCTTGAATACTTATGTGAAGGGCTTGATAGTGTTTTTATATCGTAAATCAAAGGTAAGATTCATGGATGTTGCCAGAATATTGTCTGCCATCCCTTCACTGTAATTTCTGTTACTTATTTTTGTGTCTTTTTTAAAGTAAAAGTTATGTCAAAAGTAACCAAGACAGAAAAATAGATGCACTTCTTGTCCAAAGAGGCAAACCAGTTTCACACAGCATTGTTATAATGCTTGATCCAAATCCCTACAAAAAGAACACCCAAGAAAGACATTGTCTTTGCAATGAATGCAATTATGAGGAAGCTTATTTTAGTTCATAAATGTCTCTATATACTTCAGTATGGTGAAGCATTAATTGCATTCTATGCTTTGCCTTTCTTAAATAAAATTTGCTATATATAATACTCCGCTCATGACTGTGATTTTGGTTCGAGTGTTTATTATAAACAAAAAATATGGGCTTCCTTGCCATCTTTATGCATTATTACATCTATAAAAGTTGTAGAACTCAATACCAAATATCTAGGAATATTAATGCACAAATTTTATCCATAATAAAACAATAAATACAACATTGACAGTTGTTAACTAAAATCTAATATGCAAGCAATCGTGTTACAAAATATGCGAGAGTAAAATCAGAGAAATCAGAGCGGGTTATATAGGTTTTTTTAATTTAAATCAGATTTTTTATTTAAATCAATTAAATTATTATAAATATATTTTCAATTGTAACAAAAATAAGTATTGATTTTAATCATTTTTAATGAAATAATCATTTGATTTAAACCAACGATTTAAATCACACCAGTCTTATTTTAAGAAAATAGAACAGGGAGGTGGTGGCGGAGGGGGAGGGGGGAGTGTGAGTGTGAGAGTGAGTACGTGAATGGGGGGGGGAGGTGCGCGCTCGTGTGTGTGCGGGGCTTGTTAGTGCTTTAACCTTCATCTTTTCATCCTCATTATATTATTACTTTTTGAAAGTAATTGACTTCACTGAAAGTATGTTAATTATATACTAGAGCCCTATTACAACCTGCTTATACCAGAGTCTGCTGTCCTCTGTGTATTGAAGGCAGTAAGGCAAGTAATTTTCGTTGAGGTGTGTGGTAAAGTTGTCATCATAATGAATTGTGAACTTGGTGAATGTGAAGTATGAATTTATAGTAGCATTTCTCACTTTTACTAGTACTTATTTTTCCTCCCTAACTGGGTTCTACTGTATTTTATTTAGTGGTTAAAAAATATTTAGTTTTCTCTTGAAATTAGAAACAAAAAATCTCTTCTTGCTTTCAAATTTCTGATACCACGTTCAAATATTGGTAAATGTTTTTATATTTTTTTTTTTCTTTTTACTCTCCTTATAGTTGTGTATTGAGAAACAGAAAGAAAATGTGGATCAGCAGGATAATATTCATAATTAGGTTTTATTTGTAGTGATTAATTTTTGTAATATATTTTCTACTTTTTGTATTTTTGATTGTTTTTGTTTGTTCCAGATGTAATGAGGGGCCTTCTAGAATCTTTCAAAGAATTCTTTGGACAATATGCTGACCTAGATAATTCTGCATTTCATGATGTTTTGAAATGTCGTAAAGGTCTTTTTGCGTGGACAGCGGTTATGTATTCCTTCACTTTTCATGAAGACTGCGAGACTAGTTGCTGTGTGTTCTTTTGTAACTTATTATATTGTATATACAGTGAAACATCTTACTAGTGTTACCCAGCTCACTTTTCTGTAAATTTTTTTTTTTTTTTTATTCTTTACATTCTGTTGCTTTATTTCTGTGACAATTTACGTTGAAGCCAAGAACTGGGCTTAGAACACATTTTATAGAGTAATCCTCCATTAAATTTTTTATTATAGGTATTGTGTAGATAGTTATAGATTTAGTCTGTAGTCTGTAAGTCTAATCGGTATTCATGAAAACGACCACCAGGTAGCATCTCTGGATACTCACCCCTCAAGCACGCTCCTGTGTCACTACCCAGTGGCCAGAATTGCGGAGGGATTATGACAAGGATAAGATTTAGGATGCTTCATTGGGATTTTTGCCTATATGCTTATTTTTTTTCCTTCAATGGAAATTGCAATATTGTAGGTTACTTACTCATTTTGAGGCATTTGGAGTATTATATGTGAATTTTATAGTGCCTATAGGCACCCGTTTTATTGATAAATGCCTAAATGTTATCTATTCTCGTATTTATTGATCAAAATGCTATTATCCTTACTCAAAAATTTAAAAATTGTATGTTTTTCATTTTTATTTGCAGAGTAGAGAAATCTATCGATAATTCTATCTTCCATTTGACTGCCAACAGAGTGTAGGTATTTCATATTATGAAACGTGGGTGGTTATTTCTTCATCAAATTTTTAAACAATTTTTTACTCAAAAATTGATCCAAATTTTTTCCTATTATGAAACATGGGCAGATATTTGTTACATCAAATTTTTAAACAATGTTTTACTCAAAAATGGCTCCAAATTTTTTCTTTAAATCTTCTCTTCATAATTATCTAAGGAGAGCATGAAAATTGGTGCTGGTTCTATTTTTCACAAACACTGTTTTTTTGAATATTGCAAAAAGGTAACAATGGAAAAGTACGGTATTGATTACAGAGATTTTTGTCTTAAATGAAATATATTCTAAAAAATCAAATCTTTAAAAAAGGACATCTATAATTGATTTTAAAAACAAATGGCTTTTCTGGTATTTCTGTTTAAATTTCATGCAAATTATGAAAAAAGGTTTATATTATAAATTATAAAAAAACACTTCAAATGTTGCTTCCAGTTTTGTTCACGATGGAACAAGGCACGCTAAAAGAATGGGGCAGGTCTCATTTTCGCTGAACTCTCTGAATTTTTTATTGAAAATTTTGAAATATATTTTTAGATATAGGTTGCGAGAAAATATGTACTGTTGTAACACTACTAGTTACAACATTATTGTTATGCACGAGGATTGAAATAAATCATACCATATTTTCACTTATGTTTGAATTAAATTTGATAAGAAAGATCACTGTGCAGCTTAAGAGTATCAGTTTTCATTTAATGGAAAGCAAAAAGGTAGCTACTATGATTCAGCATTTTTTGTCCAATTGCCCAAAAAGGAAAGAAAGAATTTCCTTGAGAATTTGTCAGAACATTGATTACAGTATATTCCATGAATGTAACTATTATGTTTGCTTCAGAAACTTTCACTCAAGAATATAAATAAAGATAAAAATATATAGTGCCTTTATAAATCCTTATTTTAGAGTTCTGAAAGGCTGTTTTGCCTGCTTATTTCTACAGTTACATTTTTAAGTGCATATTTTGCCTGCCTATTTTTACATATTTTTGTGCCTAAAAATCTGCAGCTTAGTACTATGTTAATTAAAGAGGACTGTTTTGCATAATTTATAAGGAACTATGGATACAAAACCCCAAAATGTGCTTCCACTGAAGAGGGTATTATCTCCCAGTTCGGCCTTAAAAAATTGAAGACTGCTTGATTACTCTGCAACAGTTACCCTAATGCGTAAATTACTTCCTTTTTAAAATCTCTTACCACCTACTCTCTCTCTCTCTTTCCACCCAGTCTCTCTCACTCTCACTCTTACTCTCCCACTCTCACTCTTACTCTCCCACTCTCTCTCCCACTCTCACTCTCTCCCACTCTCACTCTCTCTCCCACTCTCTCCCACTCTCACTCTCTCTCTCTCCCACTCTCACTCTCTCTCTCCCACTCTCACTCTCTCTCTCCCACTCTCACTCTCTCTCACTCTCTCTCTCTCTCACTCTCTCTCTCTCTCTCCCACTCTCACTCTCTCTGTCACTCTCTCTCACACTCTCTCACACTCTCACTCTAAACCCAGTTTCACCTGTTTCATTAGTAGTGTATCCTTTTCTTTGTATTTTCCTTTCCTTCATTTTAGCAATTATTGAGTAAATCTGTTGGAAAGTTTGCTTGGGAAGCTCAGAAATGAAAGATGAGTCTGGGAGAAAACACAGTAAATGGATTTCATTGCATATGCTAAAGTGTTAAGTTTTTCTTTTTAAATTGAATTGCTTTAAAGGAAATTCTATTGTTACATTTGTTGTTTTTTGTTTTTAGGTGTGTTCAAAGCAGTTATAATGAAAAATATTTTCCAGATGCTCACATTTTTTAATCATTTTTTGCCAGTGGATGGAGATTTACACGAGTACCTGATTCATTCATACACTATTCTTGACCACGTTCTAATGTCAGAACCCTATGAAATGTCGAGCTTTCGTGCAGGCATTAATGGTATTTTACAATTATTGGATGATCTGACAGGTAGTAAAGTTCTTTTGTTTTTCTGTTCTAGATGTGAAAGTATTGTATTATTATGAGTTAGAGATGAACTAAGAGTTAAATACAAAAGTGGTCCTGTGTGATAGCATGTTTTTCTGGAAGTCACACCACGCTCCAGATTGAATTAATTCAGTATTGATGAATAATTGAAGTAAATTTTGGAACATGCTATCATTCAAAACCTCATTTTCCTTTTGATTATGTATATGCATTGTTTGTAAATAACTAAACAACCCAGAAGTCCTGTTGCTAGTTTTTGTGAAGATATATGAAATTATTATGAACAATTGACACTTAACTCTCAATAGTTATTTTTATATAGTTATTTGAATGTCATAAGCATATTCTTTTAATAGGGTGAAATACTTTACAAGTTTTGTCAGAAAAATTTACCAAAAAACTGGGATAAGCCAGTGAATTTGTTTTAGGAGAAGAGAGGCTGCTCTGTTAAAAAATGTTGCACTCTTTGAATGATAATACTCCATACTAAAGTTATGAATGAATTTCAAATAGTTACTGCATTTATCTGTGTTTGAGTTTGTAGTGTGTAGTGTTTTTGAATGTTCTAAAGGTTATTATAATCTAACTGTAATCTCTTTCCTAATTCAATCTAACTTATAGATTTAGACAATTATCCTAACTGAAATTTATTCTTTTGTTTTTCTTTTTTGATAGAACGTACCCGTGGTAATATGCTTTACATTGTTGTTGGCAAATGTGAACTTTATATTATGCAAAAAACTATTTTTTGCTTCTTAAATGCTTGGAACTAATTACGGATACATTTTGGGGATCTGTTTTTTTAACCATTTTTATTGTGCTTAAAATGCCTATTGTAAAACTAGAGTCTATAGGTGTATTTTTATGATCTCTTATATAGTAACATCTTTGTTATTAACTCCACCTAGTTAAATAGTAGGATCATATTAAGATTAGTCAAGATAGTTTTTATAGGGTAAACCCATGGAGTAAGAAATACTTTTGGTGTCAAGGTTAGAATTTTATTGAGACAAGAATAACTCTTTATCACTTTCGAAATTGTCTCAAATTACAAAGTGCCAAGCACATCAAAGTCACTTTTAAAGCTATAATCTTAAGAATGAATAGGAACTGAATGACTTTTCTGTGTTGGTTCCCATCTCTTTGGCATGCTAGTGTAATCAATTGAGGTGATGACTTTACTGGTAATGTGCTGAAAATCAAAATGCCATCGGTGGCTCAGTAGATTTCAATGAGTAATATTTAGCTAGGGTTTTCAGGTAATTATATATTTTGTTGCTTATAATTTAGAAGCTGAGAAAACAGGAATGTATTTGAATTTGTACATCAGGACCATTTTATTTCGATTTTATTTTACATCTTTTACATACTCATTTTACACAGTTTTTACATACAGATATTTAAAAATAAGATTGAAATTTCTATTTTTTCAGGGGTATAGAACTTCACTAATGTTATTTTTTAAATATTTGTTCTTGTTCAGTAAGAAGTGTGGTATGAAATGTTGTTTCTTCAAAAACAGCTGTGAAATATCCTTGTGCTTCCAGATGAAATAATGGGGATATGTGTGCGCATTTGTATATCAATCTATTTCTGGAGATAAATCTATCAGTGATTCAATCGCTTCAACAGCTCCTTTCTAGATGAGATGGCAAGCTTCTCGGAAATATAGGGCATGAAATCAAGGCTAATAAGCAATCCTCATGGAAATAAATGAAGAGATCTGCATTTGCAAGCTCAGTCAACAGGAATTGTCGTTGGTGGAACATGGTAATCGTTCAGTCTTCCCTGGCTTCAAAGTTGAAATCTTATATGACTGATTGATAAGACATTCACAACTGACAGCAAAATAGTTCTTCGGTAAGCATGCAACAAACAAATAGGTTGTCCAATGAAATTCCAGCTGGATCAACATGCATAAAGTGCACTGCATACAAAAAAAACAACAACACTTAAATGTATCCAAGAAGCAGATGCTTCAACATTGAAATATTCTTTTGGTGGTATACTGGTTCAAGCTGCTAGTGCCTGAAATTTAAATCTTTCTTGGAAAAACATTGCAAGCAACAAGTTCCTGATCATTCAACTTCATAAAAATAATCTTGAAGTGTGCTATGATGAAGCAATGGGTAGAATTAGAAAACACATTAAACATTCTTTCATGTGGGTTGTTAGTAATGAAACTGCTAATGTGATAGGATGTTATATTGCAAATGTTTTGGTATTAAAACTAGTACAAAACTGTCCTTTGAAGCCATGCTTCATCTACTGCAATGAAGGAAAGGAACTAGTGTGAGATTTGTGAATTTGTTACCAGGGAAGGAGAAAGCTCTTCTCTATTTGGATGCTGCTGCATAAATGCCTAAAGCAGCTACTGCTTAAATGATTTTTTTTCCTTACACTGTTGATTTGATGTGCTTGGCTCATAGACTACATGTTGCATTTTTATCTTGCAAACAGCAGCTACCAAATGAGTCATGCCACCTGAACCAGTGTTAATAAGTTGGGGAATGTGGATTGAGGCATGGAAATGTTACAGTGAGAATGTAGACTCGATTAAATTGATAGTTGATTCTTTGAATTCTGAATGTGTTGTTTCTCTTCGCCAAGCTGAAAGTGCCTTCAGCAATTCCAAAGTAATCTGTTGAGTGGCCTACATCAAGAGTAATTTTGGCTGCCTCCCAGAAAGCATGAAACAACTAGAGTCTTCAGAACTGTCTCTGCAAGAATCTATTGTCATAATGGAAAGTGCTGATGGGTAACTAAAGGCCGTGCAGGAAGAACTTGGATGCCAGTGTACTTAGTAAACCAGAAAAGGTATCAAAACAATCGCAGGATATTCAACATTTCTCAGTGTGAGTAGAATTTCAAGTGGGGGCGTAATCAATATTTGTAAGGATATACTCCCTTGGGGAGTAAAATCCTGGTATGACAAGAATGTGTGAGGTAGTAGCCCATGCAGGGAATCCATTGTCTGATGTCAGTCAATGACCTTAAAGAACTTGCAGAAACACATAATTCCTACTATGCTGAGTATGCAACTTCACTGAGTAAATGGTGTATATGCATGTAATTTCAGAGTTGATCTGAAATCTGTACAGTAGAGCCCCGGTAATCTGAACTAATTTAGGATACAGATTGGGGGTTCAGATTCAGAAGTGTTTTTGGATTATCCAAAAAAATGTCCCCCATGTATCCAAATACATCTATAGGATTGTCAGACAATGCAACTTAGCAATGTGGTAAAATGACCATGTAACGTAGTTATCGCATCGTCAGTTCAGCAGATTCAGTTCCTTACGGAAAAATATTACCGATTTTGCAACTTCTCTAAGTAAAAATTATTAAATTTCGACAACTTTGTGTTTCAATTATTAGTTGTTCAGTTCTACAGTAATTACAAAATCCTTTCCTTTGACTATAATATTATTTATTTTGTTTATATTTCCTTCATTCAGAATTTTGTTCGGATTATCCGAATTTTCGGATTTGTGGGGTTTGTATTAGGGATGTTTTACTGTATTGCGTATTGTGCAGTATTTTGCATATTTTCACCACTCGATGTTGCTTACAAATCTCACCTCCAGTACTCATTCTTACAGACTTAGGAATCATTCAAAGCAAATTAAATTTTTATATTTTTGAATTTTGACTTTGACTTTCTGCCTAAATTTTTTTCACTCAAAGGGAGATAAACCAAGTAAAATAAAATATTTTCAATTTCATTATGTCTAATTATCATGCTAATATTTGTATCATCTGAACTTTGTTTAGGCATTTAAAATGGAAGTTAGAATGTAAAAAATGGAGGTCTTGCCATTAAGATATAAGGACAAATTTTATTTTCCAAGTACTAAAAATCCTGCAACACTTGGCAGCATTTTTAAATTACATCATTGAATAACTTCTAAACAAAGCGTTCTAGGGCATTAAACAGTAAAATTTTGAGAAATGTTGCTAACACTGTAATCTACAGGATGAGATGTTCTTGAACATTCTATTACATTTTTGCTGGTCTGGCGCCTCTTGATATTATCCCCTCTTCTCAGAGACATGCAGAATCTGCAACTAAATGTGAATGAGAGGAACTGAGAGGGAGAGAAAGTCTAACAAATTGGGACGGGGAGAGGGGGGGGAGAGGGAGACGTGGAGAGAGAGGGAGAGACGGAGGGAGGGGGACTGGGAAAGTTGGAGATAAAGGGCAGAACAATGTCTGTCGAGTTCCGCTAGTTAAATATATATTTACACAGATGTCCAAAGAAAGAGAGAAAAAAATGTCTCTTTGGTTGCAAAGAAGTTTTTTCTGAATTTACATGTTTAGTAATTAGTTAACATTTTTAAATTAATTTAAGTATGAAGGAAAATTGAGTGACATTTCAAGGTCAATAAATCGCTTAAATGGGTAACTCAGACAATAATAAAAAATGCATAATCAAATATAGAAAGTTAAATTATTATTCATAGAAAAATAATGGAAAAGACAATGAAATATTTGTACACAAATTATATTTATGAAAAAAAAAAAATTATTTGTCCTCTCATGAGCCAGTCATGTTAATAGGTTAAAGCATTCCCCTTGTGGAATTGTCTTTCTTTGAAACAAAGCAATGTCTACTGCACCTTTACCCTGCACACCTTTGCCATGACATCTATGGCTGCAAGGTAACAGTTCTGAAGTAGATAGGTTGATTTAAGAACCTATCCTGCATCCACAGAATTGTCAAACTTCTTCTGCTTCTCAGAATTATGGGTGAGCAGATGTTCGGGAATCAGCCATGTCCTTGCTTATGATTCATAGAGCTCTTGCATAACTCAATCAAAATCTTATGTATTCTTAGAGCCTTTTGTTTGATCATGCTGAGATGCAAACACTCCTCTATCAGGGAGGATCCCTCCTCCATCATTCCCTCTTTTTCGTCTCACAGAAGATGCATTCTGTCAAGAAAGTTTAGCATTTCTTTTCCCCCTTCAAATGTTCACAT